CAACAACAACACCGGCGGCTGCAACTCTTCCAACAACCGCTATAACAACACACAAAACAACAAGAATAATAACAATAACAATAACAGCGCCAGTGACAGAGGTGGTGATAGTGCAGTTGGTAGCGTGACGAAGCCAATTCTGTTCCTCCAGGAGAGCCCTGAATGCGGTGCGGTGTTCAGCCGCTTCCTCTACTTCATCTACAGCGGGGCCGTTTGGCTGCACCGGGACTACGTCATGGCTCTCTTTCAGCTCGCCCTCAAGTATGGCGTGGCGGCGCTAGCAGCGCACTGCGAGAACTATGTCATACAGCTGCTTCGTAAGGGCTTAAACCCCGCACACGCCAACAATGCTTCAAGCCACGCGCACTCCAACCCTGCGGGCCCCGCTTCCAGCTCGAGCTCCACCCCTTCTCTGTCCGTGTGTGCTGTATGTGACTTGTGTGAGGAGGAGGGCTATCGAGAAGAGACACGACGAGCTGCTTTCGCGCTCCTAGCTCGCCGTTTCGCAGAACTCTCTCACACAGAGCGCTGGGCTTCGTGTCGGTGGACCACAGTTCGAGAACTGCTGCGCTCGGACGAGTGTCCGTGCGAGGAGAATCTGGTCTTGGTTGCAGCCACGGACTGGATGAAGCGCAACCGACTACAGGACCGGACACAGATACAGGAGATCCTGGCCTCAATCCGATACCCTCGCCTACCGCGGCGGGTGCTCTACCACCTGCACACCACAGCCAGCTTCAAGAACTTTCCGCTGGTGCAGGAGCTCATAGAAGCCGCCATCCGATACCACTGCTTCAAAGAGGTGCCCGAGGCGCAGGCGGACTTCACCGGGCGGCAATATCACGCACGCGGCGGCGGCGGCGGCAGCTCAAGGCACAGCGTGCACGGGGAGGGTAGGGAGAGACAAATCGAGCTTTCTGGAGAGGGGAGAGAGAGACAGGATGTGCACGGGGAGGGAAGAGAGAGACAAGGCCTGCCTGGCGGAGGGGGTAGGGAGAGACAGGTCCTACTGGGTGAGGGGAGGGACCTACTTGTGTCTGACGACACCGCCCCACTCTCGGCCTCACACCAGCGGCCCGCACCCCTCCCGATCCACCACACAGCCGACGTGGAGGTCATAGAGTTCGAGTCCGACACACTTCCAGTACGAAGAGGGTTGTGTCTGGAGCCGGGGTTAGCAGGTGAGGAAGGCAGGGGTGGAGCTGACAGTCCGGAGCCTATGCAGAGCAGCCAAGAGATAATGGAGGATCACAGAGAAGCCCCTCCTCCTTTCCGTCCATGCCGCGCTCATCACACTCATCATCACGCCCACACGCACCACCGCCCACAACCCCGCCATCACCATAGACACGCCCACATCTCCTCCGCCCTCCCGGACTGCCCACTGTCCAGCTTCCACCCACTGGGCCCCTCCCCCTGCAGCACTGGCTCACCTGTGGCGGCCGTGTCCCCGCGCGTACAGACAGTCCGCTGCCAGGCGGGCGAGTCACGTGACATGGCCGGGCCAGGGGGCGCGGGAGTGACCACCTCAGCCTCGCCGGACATCTCGCTACAGATCAACATTCGCTCTCACACCCAGGTCTGACATCAAAATGATACTGTATGCACGCAGTCAGGTGTGTTTAATAATATAAAAAAAAGACCGACAGGCGAAGCACAAGACAAACACATTTCACTACAACTCAAACAGTAGTATGCTTTCGTTGTCTGGTGTGAGGACACGCATGATGTGTGGATTGTGCGCATCGGTAGACAGATCTAAAACGACACACACGCTTGTTTACTAAAGACTAAAGCACTCTCCTCAGACAAATCAGTGTGTGTGAAGCAGTAACGTTGTGATGTAATGTAATGGTACATGTATGTTACATTGGGCACATGCCAACCTGTCTCTCCCACACACACAACTCATTTAGTGCAATGCTAAGTCATAGTAGGCTATCCGTTAGATGGCATGGGATATGTTCTCTTTCTTTTTCCCTGTTTCTCTCTTTTTTTCGTTCTCGTTCTCTCTGTCTCTCTCCTTCTCTGTGCTGGCCTCTCTCTCTCTCTCTCTCTCTCT